ATCTCGTTGCGATAGTCAGAATCGCGTTGCGATCACGTATTATCGCGTTGCGATAGTCAGAATCGCGTTGCGATCACGTGTTATCGCGTTGCGATTTACATATTCGCATTGCGATTTACATATTCGCATTGCGATTATCTAAAATCGCAACGCGGATTTCGAAAATCGTAATGCGATGGGCAAAATTGCGTTGCGAATCTGAAAACTGAATTGTGATAATGGAGATCGCGTTGCGATTTAGAGATCGCATTGCGATTTTGTTGGTCATTTTGGCAAATTGTAAAAAAGTTGGTTAAAATCGTATATTATAAGGAATTTTCGGTCACTGAGGTTATTTTCTCTTTAAAAAATGAGCAACAATAGATGAAAAAACATATTCAAGATTTAAAACATAAAGATTGACATGAAACTTTTTCTGCAGAAGAACCTGAACCCGAAGAAAATACACAAGAATAGATGATGGTTCTTATTAAATTTCAATCCAAAGACATTTAATAAAAAATAAATCTAGTAATAAAGAATGAATTCTCTTTACAAATGATAGCTCTTTTTGACACAGGAGTTTATCAAAACTGTATAAAAGTAATAATTCCAACAAAAAAAAACTATGATAAAACTTCTGAAAGCATTAAGGCAACAAATGGTAAAAAGTTTAAAATTAATTATAAAATTTATAATGCAGAAATTTGTAATAAATGTATTAAATATTAAACATTCTTTTTAATGGTAAAAGATATTACTCAGGATGTTTTATTAGGAACACCTTTCATTTCATTACTCAAGCCTTATAAAGTTACCTTTTAATTATCTCTAGAATTCTAAACACTAAAATCGAATTTCATAGAAAAACCAAAAATAAGAAATCTTAATTTACTGAAATCTTAATTTACTAAAATCTTTATATATCCATAATAAACAAATAAATAATTTAATTGACCATAAATACAAGAAAATCTCTTTTCTAAAAGAATAAATAAGATTTAAAAAAATTAAATGAGCAATTACAAAAAATAAAGAAATTATAAAAAAAAACAAATAAAGAAGAAATAGAATCAACTATATGTTCAAATATTCCCAATACATTTTTGAAATAAAAAGAAACATGTAGTAACATTACCTTATGAAAATGGCTTTGATGAAAGACAAATTCCTACGAAAGTAAGACCAATTCAGATGAATAAAGAAATGGAAGAATTTTGTAAAAAAGAAAAAGAAACAAATACAAGATCTTCTCAATAAAATTTGATCAGAAAAAAGTAGTTCCCTTTAGAGTTGTCAGCATTTTATGTTATAGAAAATGCATAACTAGAAAGAGGAACATCAAGATTGGTTATTAATTATAAACCTTTAAATCAAGCATTAAAATGGATCAAATATCTAATTCCTAATAAAAAAAGACTTATTACAAAAACTCTATAGTACTAATATTTTTTCTTCAAATTTTTACATGAAATCAGGATTTTGGCATATTCAAATCAAAGAAGAAGAAAGATATAAGAAAACTTTTACAGTTCTATTTGGACAATACGAATGGAATGGAATGTTGAATTTCAAAGAATTATTAATGACATTTTTAATCTATACTCCCAATTCACAATCTCTATATTGATGATGTACTCGTATTTTCAAAAATATCGATAAACACTTTTAACATTTACATATCTTCATTAAAATAACTGATAATAATAGTTTAGTAGTCTCCAAATCTAAATTAAGTTTATTTCAAACAAAAATTAGATTCCTATGTCATTATATTACACAAGGAACTATTACCCCAATAGAAAAATCCATAGAATTTGTTAGCAAATTTCAAAACCAAATATTTGACAAAGTCCATTTACAAAGATTCCTAGGGAGTTTAAATTGTCATTGATTTTTGCCCTGGACTTAGCAAATTATGTAAGCCCTTGTATGATAGGCTCAAAAAGAATCCATAATCTTGGACAGATATTCATACTAATATTATATCCCTAATTAAAAAACAAATCAAAGTACTTTGCTTACATTTAGCAGATCCTACAAGCCCAAAGATAGTTGAAACAGATGCTTCAGAAATAAGATATGGAGGAATTTTAAAACAAGTCAAAAATGGAAAAGAGCAGATAGTGCAGTACACATCTAGGCACTGGAATCCGACTCGGTAAAATTATAGTACTATTAAAAAAATAAATTTTATCAATCGTTTGATATATTACAAAATTTAAAAGTGATTTATTAAATTAAAAAATTATTTTATGAATTGATTGCAAATCAGCAAAATAAGTTTTGCAAAAGAGATGTCCAAAATATTGCTTTTAAACAAATTTTTGCAAGATGACAAGCTATTTTAAGTATTTTATTTTGAAATTGAATATATTAAGGGTGAATCTAATTCTTTACGCGACTCTTTCACCATAGAATTCTTACAAAATGCCCCCTAAATTGAGAGATAAAGAGAAAGGAAAAATGAAAGAATCACCATTAAAAAAACAATTTCAGCAAAACAATTAAATCCTAATCCAAAATTTTTCAAAAAGAAGTAAATGATTTCATCAAATTCTTCAACATGTGCATCACTCCAAGATGCTTAAGATCCAAATGAGATTTTATCTAAAGTCAAAAAATGGAATTGAGTCTCTTTCTCAATCTCCAGAAGTTGCTATGGCTTTTGCACAAAAGAAGGACGACAATCCTCTCTAAAAATTGTTTTTAAAGCAGTAAAAATTTCAAAAAATAGACGGATTGTTTTACATAAACCAAAATCTCTCACAAATATTTCAAAACAAACATCTCTTCAAGAAATATTTCCAAAACAAGTAGTAATTTCACAAAACTCTACTAAAAAAACTTCACAATATTTTACCAATAAAGTTGTTGAACAAAATTCTTCCATTGAAGAATGATTTCGATTTTTCTAGTAAACCTCCACATATTTTGGTTAAATAGCATTTTAACGGATGACATTTTATGTCAATAAATATAAAGAAAACCCATGAATACTATAAAAATATTTTAATCCAAATATGATTTGTGGTATTAAACATTACATTAATCCAAAAAAATTAAATTTTATTACCCACTCTACAACAACCCAGATCATCATAGTCTTTTGACCAAAAGAATAGGATGAAAGCCCATCAACCTTGATGAAATTTCCAACATCATTTTCTGGAAAAAAAAATTCCATTATACCCATTTCCCTTATTAGGACTACCCATGGTTTTCAGAATCGGACCGGTTAGCGAACCGGTCATGCTACCGGTTCACTGGTTCAATCGGTCGAACCGGTCTGACTGGTCGGAAGAATCGGACGACGTCATAATTATTTAAAAAATTAAATAAAAATACCAAAAATATTTAATAAAAAATATTTTTTTATATCACAAGTCATATTCAAAGCAAGTCATAACATATATAAGTTAAAAATCATAAAATCAAGTGAAACAAAATGATTCAAATTAGTTACAACATAATATTTAAGGTAAAACATATTAAATAATAAATATAATTATATAACTATAATTAAAAAATAAATTTGGGGTTAAAAAAATCATAACAAAATGATATTGTTTGGTTTAATTTTTTTAAAACAATCCTACATGGCTAAGAAACATAGAAGAGCATCCCAAAAGTCTAAAGAGTAAAAATATGATAACAAAACAATCTCACATTGCTAAGAAACATAGAAGCGCATCACAACTAACTTCTATAAATAATAGAGGTAATTTGACATTCAAAATCATGGAGCATTTTGGTGAGCATTGAGTGAACTATTCTTTCACTTCAATCAAGCTCGAATTTTAGGCTTCAATCGAGCTTCTAAATTTTTTTTGAGTTCAAGCCTTTTTGAGTTCAAGTTTCAATATTATATTTCGAGTTTGAATTGAACTTGATAATTTTTAGCTTGTGAGTTTGAGTTGAATTGAGTTTACTTTTAAAGTTTTCAAGTTCGAGCCAAGCTCAGCAATACTCGAGTTCGACTTGGCTCGTTTAACAAACGACGTTGTTTGGTTTAATTTAAAAAAAAATCCCGGTTTTTCCCGTTTTTTCTGGTTTTCAACCGGTCCGGTTCGAACGGTTCAGCGGTTCTGGCCGGTTCACTAATAGCGGTTCAACCGGTTTAGATTAAACCGGACTAAGCAACGGTTTCCGGTTGAACCGACCGGTCCGGTTTTCAAAACAGAGGGACTACCGTACAGCTTGGTATGAAGCATTCCTGATGAACAATCAACACATGAGACATTCTTAGCTCATGTTTTTCAAATACGATTCATATTATAAATTTTCTAGTTGATTTCAGGAGTGGTAGAATTGGTACATACCATCTTCTAAAATATTATCCTAGAAAATCAAAGACTTTTGGTCTAAATTCTTTGACAAATACCAACCCGAATTAGACTAAAAACACCTCCATCCAAGTATTCATTTTCCCCTTATGCATCTCATAGATTGTTTCTTGGAGTTACGAATATGAACCCGATGATTATCTTAAGATTCCATATTTGGTTCGAGTCTTCAAGATCAAATGGTGGGATAAATCAACGATGAAAAATATGACTTCAAATATTTGGATAATCTTTTTACCAAAAATTCAAATATTTGCAAATCAGCCTCTCAAGACAAAGACACGTCAAGATTTCTACAAGCAAAATCGAATACTAGTATAATATTAATTAAAGAAAAAAAACAAGAAGGAATATAAGAAATTGATGGCAGAAATGCTATGCTTGATGAGTTTTGAACATGAAGATGAAGAGGAAGACTAAAAAATGCCATCAATCAAAACAATAGATCTCACAGAAGATACAACTACCGTCAAAATAACCAAGACAAAAAAATAAAAATAAAAGTGTATGAAAAAACTTGTAAGATTTCCTACAGCATCAAGATAAGATGGAATAATGTGCCATAGTAATTCAAAGAATTGAATAAATTATGTAACTGTTCTACCAAAACAAACCAAACAAGTTATGATGGTATAAAAAGAAGTCAAGCCAAACATTATTGTTCCTGCCACAACAAGATAAGAATGAATAGTAAAGCTTATGAACTCCAGCATCAAGTGTTTCCATATCAATGCCAAAGTACGAGCATCAGATAAAATGGTAGACTAACATTTTATTATTTCAAACTTTTATGTATTATTATTTTTAATTATTGTATAACTTTAGTTATTTTCATTATCTGGAACCAATTGTTAAAAAAATAAAAAAATAAAAAAAATGAATAGAGTTCTCTATAAAAATGTTCTAATTTTATGTTGAAGGGCACAACCTCATTTCCCTATAAAATTCTCTGAATCAAAATTCTAGCTTTCTCATTTTAGTTTTATTACTATTTCTATATTAAAATTTTAATTGTATATTATGGGAATATCTTGATTGTTTAATTATTTAATCCAATAGCCGTTACGATATCGATTCATTTTTGAATTTCTGTTTCTCTTCTTTTTCATTATTAGAAAAGAATTGAAACCTTTGTGTTTTTCTAGGTCAAAGAGGATCAACGACGACACCGTCGGCGATGCTGGCTTCTCTGCTTAATAGAAGAGCTTCGAAATATCGAAAGACAAGTCACTTTCATCTTTTTCCTCATCCCGATTTTACTCGAATTAGATTTATGTTTTATATTCCTATTTCTAATTCTAAATGCAGGTGTATGATATGGAAACAAGTTATTTACAGGATCCCAGCCAATGCGGCCACGTTTTGAAAAGTTTTGAGGGATTCCTCTCTTCACCCAAGAACACTGCGCTGTATGGATTGCCTGATTTTTGTTCTCTGTTCTTCTGCTCATGTAAATTCAATTTATCGTTAGCAGAGCTGAAATTTCGTGTATCCTTCTCAATATCGTGTGCTTTTTGCCCCATCTTAGCCCTATGGTATACATAAACACATCACAAATTACAAATACGAATTCAAATGTGTAGTTTTGTGTTTATTACATAATTCTTATGTTTATTAAACTGTTGAGTTCTCATATAATTCCAGAATTGTCTGGTTTGTTCAATTATATATACTTGGGATTTGTTTAGGAAACGAACATGATTTGCAAGTGTAGATTTTATTAGATGTTAAGGACACAGCAGCTTAGCTGTTTTTTTTTTCTTTTGCTTTTGAAGTTCCAGTCCATGTGTAGTCTGACATTCCTCAAGAGCAATTCAATTCAGTGCAAACTTATCTTATGATTTTATATTGAATATGATCCGCCTGTCCAACTTGACTCGCAGCTTGAAGAGGTCCAGGAAGTTCCAGCTTGAAGATAGGCTATTTTCGCTGTCTTCTGCCATTTCACCTGCGGTGCGAGTTCTTAAATGGGCTTTCATTTTTTTTGTTGTTTGCTTGCTTATATCTACTACTTTTCAGGTCAAATGATGTGAAATTTGAAATTGGTTTTATCAAATGCTGGAACATAACAAGCTCTCATTTCTAAATGTTTCGTACAATAAGCAATATTTGAACCATCAGTTTGTTATGTGGGTTGCATTTGGATTTTGAAAGCATGCGATCAGTAATCGGATGAGGAATTTAGAATATGGATGAGATGGCTTTTGCTTCGTGTCCATCTGTGGTTTCTTAATTTGTTTCTGCTTGCGGGTTTGGTGTTGGACTGTTGGGTTCTGTTTCTCTTTTGGCATTGAATTGCATGCTCGGAAGCAGAATGCAAGACAACCATTCTAGTATCTGCTGAGAAGCTGATCAACTAAATGTAACTCTATGCAAGAATTGTGTTGCTATTGCTGCAAATAAAGGCACCATAATTGTTTGCCCTCATAAGCCAAAGCCTTTCTCAGTCTTCAACTATGCGCATTGAAGTTAATGAATTGTAGCCCCTTCTACAGAATCCTGCTAAATGTTTCCGAAATGGAACTATAAATTGCCAACTTAAGTAAGGTCGTCGTCAAAATACAGCACCTTTCTCCCTTCCGAACATTTCATCACTTGCGGTGATGGATACCATAAATGTGGGAATAAATCGTCATGAATTTCATGAAAGATGAAATTTTCATTAAAATAGTTATTTAGTGTTTACTGCAGCTAATTTTCCTTGGAAGTAACTGGATCGACAAAAAAAATATGGTGTCTACAACTTTTTTCTCTCTCTCAGAACTGCTCACTAGCAAGTTCCTCAAACTGATTTTTCCTCTGCTACTGTTTGCTTTTTCAGGCTGAAGAGGTTGCCGTGCGAGCCTGTAGCATGCAGGGTGTATCAACAAATTTCCTTTTTAATGTTTTGTTGTTTGTTGTTACTTTGTGTTTGGCAGATGGGAAATCGTACTGCTGCGGCGCAGGTCGGTCTAAGGGTGGAGGTTACTTTGCCAATGGGCAGTAAGTGCATTAAAATTGTAAAATTTACCTTGGTCCGAAATGATTGAAAACAAATAATTAAGGTCACACTTGCAAATGCTTTAAGATATTCTAATCCCCCAACAAACTGATGTCCGTGTTCTTCAGAGGAAAGCCAAAGAAGGGAAGAACTAGAGAAGCCAAGAGACAGAGACACTCTAGTGAACCAGATTTCGATGATGATGATCCTGATGTCACATTTTGAAACGAATTTCGACCTGATGAATTACTTCTCGGCCTCCCCACAAGCTTTAATGCCCGGTTTGTCGTCGGAAGATATTATTTTGTAGATTTTGAACTTTACTTTTTCAAGATGATCAAACTGAATCAGCGGTACATAATGTTACAATGTCGAATGACAATAAATGAACTTGTGTAAGGTTGAAAGCTGCTTCTCAGCAAGTTTCAAATGACTACCTTTTTAATAGTATTATTTATATGTCACATTCATATATTAATATCATTTCATGGTTTTTAACATGGCATTGCTATCAAGTAAATATGTTATACATGATCACAAAATTTGCTGGTGAAGTCTAAACATTCATCACTCGAATATTTAACTGCAATTAAGAATCTCAGGCAAACCTGATCCTGTAAATAAATGAATATAAACGTTCTTGTCGAAAATTCATTTATTTGCTGAAAATAATAAAAAAATTATTTATCAACTTAATTTCTCCCTGGAGAAGAAACTAACAAAACCCAGGTGAGCGGTAGAAAAAAAATATATCAGAGGGGGGTCAAATCGTACAATATCCATTAAAAAGAGATGATATTGACAGTGGGTGAAGCTAGACAAGGGCTTTACACCAATTTGTTGCATTTCTCTAAGCTTCCATATTGGGTAGAGGACACCCTCTCCAAGTTCTTCTACATCTACTTATTGCATGGCCCATGCATAATACACGGTGTGAATTGTATCCTAGCGGGGCAGTTTTAGAAGATTAGGATCAACATACAGTTAATGTTACGAAATACAAATCTCTTTAAAGGTATATGAACATAAGACATGTTCCACAGGTGCAGATAATTACTTGTGTCTCAAGTTATTGACGTCCATTCCTTTATAAACCTTATATGTCATGGCAAAGCATAAAAAAAAAAACTTTCATTTACCTTCCCTCCTTCCGTTATTTTACCCTCTCTATCTCGTATGCAGTGGATCTGTTGTGTTTGAAACTGTGAACATTGAAAGTACAAAGGTCACCAGCATCAGTTTCAAAAACCTTAAAATGCTTAAATCAAAGAAAGAAAGAAATTGAAGCAAAAGAATAAGAAACTCATACTGCCACTATGATAATGGGGGATGTCCCCATCATTTTGTTCTCTCTAACTTCGACGTCAGATATATGTAGAATCTGCAGCAATAGTAGGTGAAATTAGTAAACATCATTTCATATCAAGAATATAATTCAACATGACATTTACAACCCACTAATCCCAACTGCAATCTACAAGTCGACATATTTAAGGCTGTGATAATTTATAACCACACTTGATTATTAAAGGTAAATGTTTTCTTCCTTCAAATGTGACCATCTTATCATGTCCCATATAATAGGGCTTAAAGCGTTACATAGAATTGTCGGTCTTACCTTGTTATCAAAAAATATACCATGGCTCTGATAAGCAGTATGTTCAGCTTTGCACCTATCAATAACTTCAGGATTACAATACTTCTTCAAAGTTTCAACATCTCCCTGTGCGTATAAAGTTATATATATTATAGAGGCTGCCACTACCCAAGACACTTTTCATTTGAAAATATAAAACGCTAGAATATAAGCCAGCGAAACCCCTTACTTTTATATATGCATTAAGGACCAGTCTAACTGATTCTTGAACTTCTGCCACAAACTTTGGCAAAGAGAATGACCTACTCCATGCACAAAAGAATTCCATAGATCAAGAAATGGAACATTTAAGTACCAAAGCAAAAATAAAGGAGGGTTGAAAGTGACCATACGGATCTCGTCGGCGTATTTCTTTGTACGATGCTGCAGCATCTGTTTCTTGGAAGATACTCTTGTTTATACTGTCAAATCAAGAATAACGAAATCAGCATCCAAAACATCACATAAATTATTTTCTAATTCTTACGTTGAAAAGTTGCTAGAAGAGTAGCATGGAAAAAGAATAAAACACAACAAGAATCTATTGCATACTCCTGAATGTTGTGAACAATGGGGTTATCACTGGTCTCCCATATTTCACGCACATCCTCTGCTATCTGCCAGTTCAATATAAATTGTATTTCACAAACTGAGACACTCAAGTATAAGAAATAACCAAAATAAGTAAAAAAACTGTAATGTAAGGGCAGTGGGGATGAAAAAAAAAACATAGGTTGGAAACTTACCTCTTGGCCCTTTGTCACTACAGGTTTACCCATCCCACTAACACGCTTGAATAATGGATGACCTTGCATCTATACAGAAGGGAACAAAATCCATACAATAAGAAGGGAAACACAAGCAATAGATAGATGAAAATTAATTGATATTTGAGTAAACCTCAACACCGACGGTAAACTTACCTTCTCCTTTAATGCCACCCACTTTTTACTCCAACGGGACTGATTAGATGGCAAAATAACAATATCAGTTCTTGTACTTCTTTCACCTGTTGATGAGGGAGGGGCTGTATACTCCAGATGCTTTCTCTTACTTGGGTTACCACTTAACTCATCTTTAACAATGTCATAACCCTTCTTAGCTAAATCAACAACCTTAGCTTCCTTTAACCTTTGGAAAGCCAATGAAACCTTAGGAGAAGAAATGCGAGACTTAAATTTTCCAAATGCAGTTTCTGCAGTATCACCCGATCCAGATTGCTGGTAATTTTCTTCCTTGGATATCGCCTTACCTTCATCGTTCAAATTAGCACAATGCTGAGTTGAAGTATCGGTTGACTGCGAAGACTCTTCCTTTCCAATCCCAAAACTCTCCTTAACCTAAACCAACATAATAACTTGATAAGTGGTCAAAGATATCATTGTAGGTCAACTATTTGAATTTAGAAAACACCTCCTCTTTGGCAGCTGAAATCTTCTCTTTCATGTTGGCAGAAACATACTAACAACATAATAACAATCAACTATAAACTAGGTATCATTAACATAGAAAGCAGCTCCATCAAAAGCTTCATATTCAAGACAGATAACCTTTTCCACATCTCAGTTCCATCCCAATATTTAAATTACAATAAGACACTAATTTCATGGAGCAACAATAATTCTACACTATGAACAATATAGAATTTAAATTACCCATACAAAATCCAAGGGAGGTTGCTTTTCAGCAATCATCCTTAGCTTCTTGTACAAAGCAGCCTATCCTAGCTATGGTCAAATTCTAAATTATAACTAGTTGATTAAGCTCGATTACACATTTATTCTGCAAAATGAATTGGATAAAAATTACGGAATAAAGGCTACATATAACTTAATGGCTATCGAGTAATTGACATAAATATGCATTACAATGAAAAGCAACTTAGGAAGCACATCGTGTAAGCATATTTAGTTTGAGGCAAATACACTATGCATCAAATCCTGAAAGAACTACAAGTGAAGATAAATTTGAACCCCAACCTTTTTAGCAGTAGCTTCAGCCTCAGTCCAAGCACCATCGACCTGTTTGTAAATCTGCTCGGTCGTCTGCTTCGTTCTGCATTGGCCATTTCACCATCTCAGGATACCCCTTGATATACAATGGTATGTCTCAGCCTACTAACCCTAACAAATGCTAATTTTAGGACGAAACCGTTTTACGAGAGACATTACCTAACTTTCAGCTCTTCTGCTTTACCCTTTAGTTGCTCAACTGATTGCTGAAATTCCGAATTTCTACAGTATTGCAAAATACTACATCAAAAGAGACTTTTTTTTCCTTTTTCGAATTGAAAAACATTACTAGCTTCAAAATACCTGCTAGCTTCGCCTTTAATTTTCTTGGAGAACTCTTTGAAGACACTAAACTGACGATTGCCCGAGTATCAATTTCCAGACAGTAATCTTAGTCTCAAAATCCCACAACCACAAAAAAAAATGAAAAACAAGAACAGAACTTTACATTGTTTGAGAAACAAGCTAGCATCTTTGTACCTGTTGAGATGAAAGGCGTTGAGTAAGGGGATGTCTTGCAATGAAAAAAATCTCGAACCAGCTTCCCACTAGCCATAATCAAACAAATTTCTTCAGAAAACGTTAGTTTTCTTCTTCCTTTTTACATATGCATCGGGTGTGGGATTCCCTCCAAAACAAGTATATAAGAAGACTTTGAATTTATATTTTGGGAATGAAAATTTAGGTTATTTGGTTAGTGAAATGAACCAGAATTTTCTTCTGAAAAAAACGATAGAATTAAGTGGCGCCTGATGCTTGAAGAGCAATGAAGTTTCGAACTTTGATATCAAAGTTGAGTCGAGGACTAGGGTTTTCGATCCTAATGTTTGTTGTGAAATTACCTGAAAGGACCCTCCTAAAGGTTTAACAAAAGAACTGCTCTCCAATATAACCAGAAATTACATTTCCCATAAACAAAAGGCCGGAAAGCCTGTTAATTCCTTGACCCAGAATTGCCCAAAAACAAATTCACTAAAGGGACTCCCTTATCAGTGCATTTTGTCAAAACAAAAGTGCAGAAGCCCTGCGGAAAGAGAATGCAAAACCTCCACAAAGCTTTGTTTTGAAGCTCCACCTTAACTCATGTCGTGTGCACTTCATCTCCTTCCCAATAAAATCCTGGTGAAATTTTATCTTCTTTTCTCATTTTGTGGTGTGCTGTTTCCTTTCAATTTCTTTACTTTTTGTTTGGTTACCAAGAAAAAAAGAAAAGAAAAGGAAAGGAAATGTTTGTTCAACTTGAGGTTGAGGGTTGTAATTAGTGTCTCTTACGCACATCCCATTTTTCAGTAATGGGCGTTTTTCCATTTTGAACTTATTCTATTTGGCCTCTTTTTTTTTTTTTTAAGTTTCTAGTCTTAATCTTATATCCTTAAATTGTAATGACTGTTCATGCTGGATTCTATGAAATGCTTTGTTGAATAAGTCAGGTTGACATGTTGAATTTGTTTATATCTGTATTCTCTTGTTTTCTGCTATTTTTTATTTGCTTTTTTGAAAGTGGAAAAATTAGTGAATTGTACAATTGATATTAGCATCAAGATTGAGTAATTTTCACTTGTGATGAGTTAAAGCTGAAAGAGATCGTCTCTTGTTTCGTTGTTTTTGTCATTACGGTGTTGATGCGGCAGTGACGACGGATGCAAAAATATTTTTCATGGGCAAATTATATTAACAACAGACATTTTTTGGACGGGTG